TAGGGGACCTCATTCAGACCCACCTTTAGGAGTCCTGGCTGGGAATATCATCTTTCCAGTTAGGAGGTACTTAAAGACCGCTGTTCTTATACCCTGGTTCTAACTACATTTGGGACAAATGTGGGTTTTCTTCCTTCACAAAATGCAGACTGGCCACAGAGGGATTGATGCAAGTTTGAGGCCAGAATGTACTACATAGTGAATCTAGGGCATCCTGGGCTACCTGCAAGACCCTGTCTCAAAAGAACAAAACAACCACAAGCTGCAAATGTTATCTCAGAAACACACATGCATGCACACAGAGAGTCAGGCTCAAGTTCAGACTAAAATGTAAATGATTCCTGGCCCAACACCACCCACCACCCCCAACACACAGCATGAAGGCCTTTTTTTTTTTTTTTTTTTAAACTCCTTGGATAAATTCTGCCTCTGTATCTAGCCTGTGCCCTGAAGTGTGACCTTTGCAGTCTGGGTTACTTATTCCATAAATACTTGCCAGTGTTCAGAGAGTATCAGAGATACCATTTTTAAGTAGCAGCAGTGCCTTGCATTTCCCTGGCTCTCCTCGGGGACCAGAAACTCATTTTATCTTTCCAACAGACCTAGGAAGTTGGAAATATTATTATTACTCCCACCCTGTAGATGAGGAAACTGAGGCACAGGAAACTAGTGAACTTGTCCAAGTCACATAGCTAGAAAGTGGTAGAGCATGGGTTTGAATCTAGGCAGTCTGGCTGCCAAGCACTCTGCTATCTGGCATCTTTGGGAATCTGGTAGTCAACAAGGACAAAGCTTCCCCCAGCAGGAGCGGGTAAGGTGAGGCTCTGCATGCAGAAAGCCCTGGGATCAGTCCCCAGCACCACATAACCAGGGAGCTGATAAAGACATGCTTGTGGTCCTAGCACCAAGAGGTAGAGGCCGGGGCTTCAGAAGTTCAAGGTCATCTTTGGCTATCATTGTGTGACAAAACTTTTCCTGTGGAGACACAGCACACATATCTACTCACCCCAGATAGGGAACCCATGACAAACCAAAGTAGAGATACCACCAAAGAACAATTTGGTGAACCATGAGTTTTATTGGGGTTACTTAAGGAATATGGGTGAGGACTTCTTTGCAGGGGCAGAAATGACTTAAAGAAAACTGTATCATCAAGGCAGACATAGTGCTAGAGAGGTAGCTGAGAGCCCTACATCTTGATCTGCAGGCAGCAAGAAGAGAAAGAGCCACTGGGCCAGGCTTGGGTTCTTGAAATCTAAAGCCCACCCCCAGAGATATGCTTCTTCCAACAAGGACACATTTCCTAATTCTTTTCAACCCTATCTGGGGGCTGGAGGTAGAGGGTAGCTGATGACTCCCTGATAACTAAGCATTTAAATCTATGAGCTTATGGGGACCATTCTTATTCAAACCACCACAGGGGGCTTCTCAGCTTTTTTTACTTATTCTTGAAGGGAGGGTCCTACTGAATCTGGTCAGTTTCAGGTACTTCCTGGAGCTATTTTGAGTTGTTTCTCTTCCTGTTTAAGAAGCTTTCTTCAGGTTGGAATGTTTTGATCTTGGGGGGGAAACTGTTATGTAACAGTTACACAGTAAGTTCAAGGCCAGCCTGAGCCACACTAGGCCTTGTCACAAAGAACTTCACCCAGCTTGCCTTCTGATGTGGAGAACATTAGAAATACATATCTCCAGTAACTTCTTCAAGTGATGACAATTCTGTGGAGAAAATCTAAGGGCAGCAGAAGGCTGAGCAGAAGTCTCAGAAGTCATAGCCAGGAGTCCAGTGTTCAAGGAGGGACAGACAGTAGGAGAGTAGAAGGCAGGAGGATGGATGGACTGACTCCTTTGCATTTCATAGAGCATTCTGGCTGCACAGTGCCAAGTAGGTGGGGTGGGAGATCCAAGAGAAAGTAATAGAATGGGTAGGAGGTGGATCTGATGAGCAGATGGAGGAAAATGGTGACTTGAGCCAGGATTGGGGGTAGAAAGTGTTGGTAAGGAGGGGATGGACTGGGGTCCTGGCTTGGTGGAGGGGCCTAGAAAACTAGCTAGTCAGTGTGTTTGATAAAAAGGGTAAGGGAAAAGAGCCCAAGTGGGGGGCTCTCCAGATTTCAACTTGAAATAGTAGGTAAACCAGGGTGCTTCAAAAGAATATTTATGCTTATTTCATGTGACATTTTGATACAAAGCATTCATCTTCTAAGTTAATGCTCAAGCACCATGCAACCAAGTTACCACACACATACATACACACATATTCATACCCACATGTATATACACATATATACAGATATACAGATACACACACATCTCATAATGATTTAAGTATGTTTACATTTCTATGTTGGGCCATATCCAAAGCTACCTTAGGTCATATGTAAACACCAATGAGGAGCAGGTGGGACACCCCTGGTGTAAACAGTGGTGCCTCCTACAGAGGAGAAGGATAGGGAGAGAGTGAGCTTATTTTTGCACAGTTGTGGGTAGGCATGAGGGTACTGAATCTTAAGTTCTGTCTTGGATATCCAAACTTGAGATCTCAGTAGACTTACAAGTGGTAGAGTAAACAGAGACTTCATCCATCAGGCCTGGCTGGACTTCTCACATGAATGTCCTCAGTGTGTAGGCCAACTGGATCTCCTAAGAGCCCATAAGACAATTAGACTTCCTATGTGGGAAATGTTGCATCACCATGCGTGGGGATCGCAGAACCAAGGACCTTTGAGTACTTAAAATGTGTTTGGTGCAGCTAAGGGCATGAGTGCTTAATTCACAGAGATATAAATGATTATGTAAAGCCCCACAGACCTAGGGAGAGACAAACAGAAGAGTCAGAGGAAGTCAGGAGCCCTAGCATTCAAGGAAGCAGCCTGGGCTCCCTCCAGGTACCTGGGCTACTCTCACATTAGTATGTAAGTATGGCTATTTCCACTGCCTGGTAGTCACCAGGAGAGTGTGGTAAGTAATAAAAACTGTGCTTTTGACAGGTGCAGTAGCACTCAGGAGTCAGAGGCAGATGGATCTCTGTGAGTTCATGGCCAACATGGTCTACATAGTGAGTTCCTGGCCAGCAGAGTACTATAGAGAAAGACCCTATCTCAAAAAAGAAAAAAAAATAAGAAATGGACTGGAAAAAAGCAAAGTACATGTAAGTCCTAAGAAGGAAGTGTAGTTAGCTGGAAAATAAATGCAGCCCTATATGTGCTCACTGGAGCTTTGAGGTCACCTGTAATTTTCTACTATGTTTTGTGGGGGGTAATACAGAAAGGCAGTTGAATAAATCTGGAGACAGGAACTGGGCAATGTCCTGAGGAATGTTAAAAGCCTGCTGCTCACAGGGCAGAGGAAGTGGTTCAGTGGGTAAGAGCACTTATTCTTATAAGCATTAGGATCTGAGTTTGAATCCCTGGTACCCACATAAAAGTTGAACATAACTGTACCAACCCATAACCCCAGCGCTGAGGGTGGAAACTTCAGGCTCACTAAGAGACCCTGTTTTAAAGGAATAAGGCAGAGAATGATGGAGGAAGACATCTGATATCCTGTTCTGGGCCCATTGTATGCAGGGCATGCACACCCACATATATGCAGACACTCATACAACTTACATACATTACATACAAGAATCCACTGGCCTGTTTCTCTGTGTTGGTGTAGCTGATGCATACCCTGTCCAGGTACAGACAGGCCTGAGTAAATAAATAAATAAATAAATAAATAAATAAATAAATAAATAAAATGGAAAGATGTTGCTTTCATTAAGGTTGATTGCTGCTGCCGTATTAGCTCCTTCAAACCTCCCAGTGACCAACACCTTCAGAGAAAATGACCCTTCTGTGCTTAATTGGTGAAAAGTGAGAGAATGTGAGTTCCGGCTTTTAGGAGGAGTAAGCCAAGGTCAACACCAAGTGTGTGGTGCACAACTGACTTGGGGCAGGAATCTTTTCCCCCAAGGTTCATGGGGGAAAAGATTCATTGTGTATTTGAAGGAACATGATCCTGCTCTCATGGTTTATGGTTTTTTGTTTGTTTGGTTGGTTGGTTTTGGTTTTTTGGTTTTTTGGGGGGTTTTTTTGGTGTTTTGTTGATAAATTGGACTGTGGATTTACAGTATTTGGAAAATGAAAAAAAAAATTAGTAGTCAGGTTGATAAGATGGTTCAGTGGGTAATGGTGCATGCTGCCATGCCTGCTGACCTGAGTTCAACCCCTGCATACCATACGATAAAGGAGAGAACCTACTCCCAAAAGTTGTCCTCTCACCTCCATATTACACACACACACACACACACACACACACACACACACATACACACATCCAAAAGAAATTAAATGTAATAGAAAACTGTTTAAGTTAGTAGTTCCCCCACTGAAAGTTCATTTTTAGCTGAGGATACAGGACTGTAAAGTGGTAGCTCCTAGACATGGTCCCACAGTTCACTAGAGCTGAGGAACCCAAACCAGAGCCAAGAGTGAGCCCACAGCGGCTGGGGTTAGATGCAGGAGGGAGGGCAGATCATGAAAGAATGTCTCAGGAAGGCTAAGAAGGGTTGAACTATACATGAAAAAGGCTCAGGAGATAACAGCCTGAAACTGATGGCCTCCTTCATCCTGTCCACAGTGAGGAGGAGGGACAGTGAACCAACCCTGGAGGAAGGACAGGCAGAGGCCAAAGACAGTGGCCTCAGAGAGCAGCTGTGCCCACCATGCTCCTGTTGGTTCCAGAGTCTTCTCTGGGAGAAGATGGATCTCTGCATTTATGACTCCCTTTTTCTCAGGAAAGTGAGAGGGATGGCAGACAGAAAATTGAGATTAAAGGGACAATTAGGTCGCCTTAGGAAGAGCAGCTATGGATCTATCTCAGTGTGGGAAGCAACTAAAAGCTAACTGTCTGGGAGAGGAGGAACATTCTCTCAACATCAGTATTGATCATGGATGTTGTAGAGAGTCCTCCCTGTCATCCTTCCATGACATGTGACCTGGCTCTTCCTTGTCTTTCAGTGTCCGAGTTCCAGGAGGAAGGAATGAACGCCATCAACCTGCCCCTGAGCCCCATCTCCTTCGAGCTGGACCCCGAGGACACCATGCTGGGTAACTGTCCTTATATCTAGACTAGCTTAGTGCCCATAGCTTAGACAATCCCACCAAACCCTTTTTCCTTTTCTAGCTCTCATTTTAGTTTTAGGTTTTTTTTAATTTTAAGAATTTAATCTTTGAGAATTCCATGCATGCATGTAATGGAATATGATCATATCCACTTCTGTTTTCTCTCCAACTTCCAAACCCACCAACATGTTCCCCCTCCCAACTTCATCTCTTCTTCTTCCTCTTCTTTTTAATGACCAATTAAAGCCAACTAAAGTTGCCTGCATGTGCACAGCTGGGGAGCTATCCACTGGAACATGGGCAACCCACAAGTGGATACGCTGCCAAAGAATTGTTCTCCTTCCCTCAGTGACCACCAACTGCCTGTAACTCCTCACTGATGGGGAATGTACAACTGTGTATGTTTATCTTATTGATTATTGAATAAAATATTGTTTGGCCAATGAGACAGCAAGTTAGACGGAACTAGGAGTCAAAGAGGATTCTGGGAAATGTAGTAGAGAAGTGCTGATCCGGGCAGGAAGTGACATCGTAAGGAGACTCATATTTAAGCGAAAGAGAAACAGGAAGGGCCCTCTTTTCCCCTCAGCTCCTGTTCCAGCGGCACGATGTGATCCACCAGCTAGCAGGGACGCCAATAAGGCATCCGATAAGAAAAGTCTTATAAAATATATAGATGTATGATAATTGAGACTGAGCTAACAGATGAGAATCCTAGTCATTGGCCAAGCAGCATTGTAACTAATACAAGTCTCTCTGTGTATTCATTTGGGCCTGACTCGGGCGGGCGGCTGTCGTAAAGCTCACACGTGGCAGTGGGGCTCAGGCAGCTTTTGGCAGAAAGATTTATAGTAACACCTCACCAAGGGGTGGAGCCTCTAGAACCCCTTCTCCATCCAAGCTGGAGTTCTGTCTGGCTTGATCTTGTCCACAGCTGGTTCAGATAACCACAGCTGCTGTGAGACCATGAGTAGAGTGGCCATGTCATGTTCAGAAGACAGTGCATCACAGCACTCCTTTCTGGCTCTTACATTACAGCTGTCTCCTCTTCCTCAGTGTTCCCTTAGGGCCGAACCCTCACACTTACCTATTCCCAGCACTTTGGCTACTCTCAGCCTCCATCAGAGAATCTTCTCTTTGCAGTAGGCAGCAATCAATATAGAGGCTGAGGCTGTTTTCCTTTTACAGAGGAGAATGAGGTGCGGACAATGGTGGATCCAAACTCACGCAGTGATCCCAAGCTTCAAGAGCTGATGAAGGTAAGAAGAGATGAGGAAAGGTTCTGGAAGAATTCCCACCCCACCCCCCAGCCTTTGAAGGTGTCTACAGACCGCCTATTCTGTGAAGATACCATACAGGGGACACTACAAGGAGGTCACAGTCATATCAAAGTCCTCAAAGGAACTTAAAAAGTCAGCTAGGAACAGTCCCCTGTTCCAGATGAGGGAACTAAGTCTTAGGAAGCCATGTGATTTGTATATGGTCTAGCTGGTTTAGAGAGATGGAATTGGGGCCTGAGAGTGTGGCTCAGTTGGTAGAGTACTCTCCTAGCATGCACACAGCTCTGGGTTCGATCCCCAACAGAGCATAGCCTGGCATAGTGATATATGACTGTAATCCCAGCATTTGGGAAATGGAGGCAGAAGGATCAGAAATCCAGGATTATCCTGAGCAACATAGAGTTTGAGGCCAGCCTGGAGTACTTGAGACTGTGTCTCAGAAAAAGAAAAAAAAAAAAAAGGAAAGAGGAAGAAGAAAGTGGGGGAAGGCGAGAGACTGTCTGTTGTATATGGGATGTTGACCATCATGCAGCAAATCTTCTGCCATTCACCTGTCCCTTCTTGTCCCCTGACCTATGTCCCTCTTCATTGTTCAAAAGTCTACTAATAGTGTCTTCCTGCTCAAAGCCTACCTGTAGTTTTCTATTAAGTGCAGGGTCAGGTGGTATTTGAGTCTTTTCTCTGGCTCTCTTCAGCCTTAGATAATCTACCTAGAAGCACAGGGACAGCTGAATGCTGGCTGCAGCACTCCCTGTCCCCAGGCATCTATTTAAGCAGCTCCCTCTACTTAGATTGCCTCTGGCTTCCTGCATACCACTTCCTCCAAGAAGTTCTCTCTGATGCTCATTGCTATGACTCAGCCTCTCTGTGTAGCATTGGCCCCTTGGCTTAATATGTTAGTTTCAGCTCCTGGAGTAGGTGCTCACTCTCTTGCACACACACACTCTCTCTTCCTTCTCCATCCCTCCCCCTCCTGTCTCTCCTAGCCTCCCTGACAGTGAGCCCCTTGGGGTTAGAGACTTCCCTTTCATTAGAACCATTATATCCCCAAAGTCTGGTGTTTCATATGCATTGGCTGGAAGGGGAGAAAAAGAAAACTGCTTATAAAAGCAGACAGATGGGGCCCTGGAAAATGGCTTAGTGGATAAAGCACTTGCTATGCAAGCATTCAAATCCTAGACTCTGGATCCTAGAACCCACAGAATGGAAACCGCTGGCATGCACTTAAAGCCTTTCACTGAGGGAAGAGGGACATGGAGAAAGCTGGTCTCAACAAATGGTGAATTTCAAGTTCAATGAAGAAACCGTGTCTCGAAATAAAATAAAATAAAATAAGAATAATGGATGGAGATAACCAAAGTCAACCTCTGGTGTCTACATATGAACACTCATGCCCACAAGCAAGTGTACTCCCATGAATATATCACACATACACACACCACCAGCAGCAGCAACAGCAGCAGTAGCAGCAGTCAGGCTAGTCAGAAGTAGAATCAGAATATTGTCCCTGTAGTTGCCCCTAATGCATTGGAACAAAGCCATGTGAGATATGGACTGTTGTGAGAAAACTATAGTACCAAAGGTAGTCTTCTCAGACAGGCTAATTAAGTGCCACTTCAGTAGCCTGGGCTTGGGGTCATACTCCCCTTTATTCTCTGGGCCTCAGTACAAGCCCCACAGATTGGCCCTTTTTTGATGGCTCCCCTGTCCCAGGAGGAGCCTGAGCCCTCACCTTGCAATGCAGGGAGAAGGTGGGACAACTGCAGTTAAGGTTCTATCTGCCGTTGTACCTCTTCAGGGTGCTTGGCCTAGGAGGGCCAATACCGGAGAGGGTTATGCAATGCAGGGAGAAGGTGGGACAACTGCAGTTAAGGTTCTATCTGCCGTTGTACCTCTTCAGGGTGCTTGGCCTAGGAGGGCCAATACCGGAGAGGGTTATGCAATGCAGGGAGAAGGTGGGACAACTGCAGTTAAGGTTCTATCTGCCGTTGTACCTCTTCAGGGTGCTTGGCCTAGGAGGGCCAATACCGGAGAGGGTTAACTCTGTGCTTGTATGTTAGTTAATTTTCTATTGACTAAGGCAACTTAAAAGAAAGCTTTTAATTTGGGGCTCACAGTTGCAGAGGGTTAGAGTCTAATACCATCATGGCAGAGAGCATGGCAGCAGGCAGTCAGGCAGGCAGGCATAATGGTGGAGCAGTAGCTAAGAGCTTGTATGTGATCCATAAGTGTAAGGCAGAGAGAAAGACTCCCCAGTGACACATCTCCAACAAGGCCATATGTCTTAATCCTTCCCAAACAGTTCCATCAAGCAGGGACCAGGTATTCAAATATCTGAACCGATGGGAGCCATTCTCATTCAAACTAGCACAATTGGTCCTGGCATAGTATTACTTCTGTGGTGGGGTGGGCAATGCTCTAATGGTCCAAGAGGAAACAATCAGATCAAGCTCTGCTGTTTGGGCTCCAAACAGTGGTCTCCTAGACCAAGGACCAGTCTTGCCAAAGAGGAAAAGTAGAGGTGTGCATTGCTGGGCATGAGCAAAGCAGAACCTTGCCAAGCAGTCCATAACCTCACTCAAGGGAAAGCTTTGGCTTTCCAGATCTAGGCTACATCGGCCACCTTGAAATCCTAGTCTTCAGCCACATCATCTTTGGGGACGTATTCATTGCTGCTTCCTCCTCTGTGCTCCCCACCTGGGTAGGGTCAACTGATGAGATTTAGAATGACTATGGAAGCAAACCTCTGGGCATGCTTGTGAGCAGTTATCTGTATTAGGCTGATGTAGGAACACCCACTCTAATGGGTAGCATCATTCCATGAGTTGGGGTCCCAGACAGAATAAAAAGACGAAAGTGAGCTGAGTACCAGCACCCATCTCTGCTTCCTGACGTGACCAGCTAACAGTAACTAACCTGCCAAGTACCCTAAAGGGAAAGTGTTTGATATGCTAAGAAGATCTACCTTCCATGGAGTATTTGGCCATTGTCATGGGTAATTCTTTTCTACTGCCTAACATGGGGAGTACTTCAGGCTGCAGTGTTAGAGATCAGGACCAGAGGCTCAAACAGAAGTAACTAGATTGCCTCAGACTCACAAATGACAAGTTCAGAGATAACAAGAGTGTGCACGTGCACAGTGCTGTAAGTAGACCACAGTTCACAGAGAGGCAGACATATGGACGTCATGGACATCAGAGAGATGCAGACAATTGTGTGCACAGCTGTAGATGGCAACGGTGCACACACAAGTTAGTAGGTGGAGCTGGGATTTTGATCCACTTGCATGACTCCAGAGTCCATACCCTTGCCTGGATTGAAGCCCATTCCATTAGGGGAAGGCCTGGCAGAGCCAGGGAAGGTCAGCAGACTCACTGAAACTGCCCCCACTAGAAAGGCTAACCTTAGTGTTGTAGTTAGAGTTTCTATGGCTGTCATAAAACACCATGATGATAAACAACTTGGGGAGGGAAGGGTTTATTCAGTTTAGATTTTTGTTGTTCATTACTGAGGGAAGTCAGGACAGGAACTCAAACAAGGCAGGAACCTAGAGGCAAGAACTGATGCAGAGGTCATGGAGGAACACTTCTTACTGAATTGCTTGCTCAGCGTGCTTTCTTATAGCACCCAGGACTACCATCCCAGGAGTAGCACCACCCACAATGAACCGGTCCCTTCCCAGTTCAATCACTAATTAAGAAAATGAAGTTCACATTAACAAAATTGATGTTCCACAGAAATAATTTCAATTATTTTTATTATTTAGTCATTAAAAGTACTAATTAAAGCATGGTAACAATGATTTCTAGCTGGGCATAAATACCAGAAATTTGTTTGGGCAATAGGTTAAGTATGCTATGTTAAGCTTATGCCAATAAACCTGATTAACTGGGGGGAAAAATGCCCTACAGACTTGGTATAGCCAGATCACTGGAGGTATTTTCTCATTTGAGGTTCCCTCTCTCAGATGACTCTAGTTTGTGTCAAGTTGACAACAAACTAGCCAGTACATTCTGTAAATGCACAGGGGTACTGGGGCTTACACCTACATTTGCACACTAGTCCCATGACTTCTCTGCTGCTCTTAACCAAGATTGAAATTCATGTAGATTTCAATTGTCCAGCATGAGAAAGCTGGTTTCCAAACACATAGGCAGCCACTCTTCTCTGACTCTCGTACTCTCTCTGTAGGTACTCATCGACTGGATCAACGACGTGCTGGTGGGAGAAAGAATCATTGTGAAGGACCTGGCTGAAGATCTCTATGATGGCCAAGTCCTGCAGAAGCTCTTCGGTAGGAGAGGGGAGACTTGGGGATGCTAGCTGCCTCTTAGCTTAGAGGAAGTTCCAGGTCACAATGACTCATCTGAGAGGGGTTTTGAGTGGATTGAGTGGGTCAATAGAAACACAGGGGCTCTAGATGCTTCTGGGGGTACTGCTTTATTGTGAGAGGAGTCTTGAGGACCACATAGTTCTGCTCCCTGGCCTTCTGGGTCATCAGCTGGGTTGATGAGAAGCCCCCACTGCAGAGATGCAAAGCATACCCCACTCCCCTGGAAACTGATCTCATTGCATGCCTAGGTTGATTTCCACATGTGTGAGTGGCCCCTTGTGTTTTTAGACTTATGTGGCTGATGGGTATATAGGTATGTGTGTATATATACTCACCTGGTAGGAAGGTACTATGATAGCAGGGACCTATGGACATGTGTGTGACCCTTTGTGGTTTATATGCTTGTCTGCACTCCTCTTTGATCTATGGGAGTGTTCAGGTATGTGCCTCCTGTTGTCTACAGACACATATGAATGTGTTCTTCTGTGACCTATGGACATGTATAAGTATGTGTGCCTTTGTCTATGGGACTGTATGTGATCCCTCTATGATCTATAGGCCTACATATGTTCCTTTCAGCTATAGAAACCTATATATATGGACATGATATGTTAACTTGTGATCTGTGGGCCTGTGTGTGTTCCTGTGTCCCTCTCTGAGCTGAGTGCTATTAAGAATAAGTATGTGCTGTCACACACACACACACACACACACACACACACACACACACACACACACACACACTGTTCATATGGAAATCTAAGGCTGAGGGGAAGGAAAAGAAAATTCTGGAGTGATCCTAGTAGGTGATAGATGAAGTAGGCATCCCTTTCTCAGCCTCCTTGTGTCCTCTTGAGCCCATAGCGGCCCAAGATTCTAATTCCAATGTCTGGCTGCCTTTTAGCCGCCTCTGCCTGGGTGTACTTTGGACCGAGTATACCCTTTTAGAGAAGTACCCCTCTCCTTGCCGTCACCCCCATGTACAATGTTGCCAAGCTCCCTTCTTGCTCAGAGACCTCTCCTGAGTCCATCTGATTTGTTGTTTTTACTTCCCTCCTTTGCACTTTTCTGAGCTATTGAAAAGCTTCCCAGCTGGCATCTGTTCTTCCCATCCCACCTCTTCTGGCCTATCACCTGTTAGCTGGGACACCTGGTTAAATCACAAGTCCTGTCCACCCTGATTTAGAAACCCCAGGGGCCCTCTCCTGCAGCTCCATCCAGACCACTTTACACAGCCATCAGGTCTTCAGATCATCTCCCCACCCCCTACAGCTGTCCACAGCCTTTCCTCCAGATACCTACACACATGGCTCACATGACAGGGCATGACAGGTGAAGTAAGTGACTGTCCTCACCTTTGGTTTTTCTATTACAGTGCATTATTTCATATGACATATGATCAGCCCGATACTACTCTTGCGTCTGCCTCTGAGGCCCTTCTTCCTCCACAGTCTACCCAGACACACCATTGTTATTCATCCTTCTGAACCCAGGGGTCTCCCTTTTACACTCTGTACATTATGGTCACATGTAGAAGACAGGGCTATGGATTCACCTGTGCTCATCTCCTGCCCCATATGTGTCTAAATGGAAAATGTGTTCAAATTTATATAATCTGAAATATTCCAAAATCTAAAAGTCTGTTGAGTGCTAACACAACTGGAAAGTTCCACACATGGTATATATGATAAGTTGCAGTCAAAGCTGATCACGAGAACTGTTGTGTAAAATGAACTTCAGCTTAGGCATGCTAGCATATGCCAATAATACTAGCACTAAGGAAGCTTGGGCAGAAGGATCCTTGTAAATTTGAGGCCAGGCTCAGCTGCATAATGAGTTTATGTCCAGTCAGGGCTACCTAGCAATACCATCTACAATAACAAGTACCTTTAGACTTCGTATCCATACTGTAAATGTATACGAGCCACTAAAGAATTTGGTGTTTAAGACTTAAGTCTCATTCCTAAGATGTCTTATTATGTACATGGCAGCATCCCAAAATTTGAAGAAGAAATATATAGTCTGAAATATTTCTTGTCCCAAGAATTTGGGGTAAGGGATGTTTGGCATGTATAAGTGTATATCTGTATACACTCACATACACACATATGTGTTTCTAATGCCTTATCTTATGTGTTGTTTGTAGCTGTGTATGTAAGCACATGTGGCACTCTTAAAATCAAGAAGTAGGTCTTGTTTATTTTTTCCAGGTTTCTCTGGCCCTGTCCAGCTGCCTCGAACATCACCTAGCACTTAATCAATGTATATTAGATAAATGAATGAAGGGCTAATATAAAATCTAGTAATTTCTTGGAAGCTAAACTGATTTGGTACTCAAACATCAATATTAATGAGTATTAATATTTAAAGGTTGTAAATGCTAACTGAATACAGAATAGAAGGCTTTGGCACATGTAATCATGGAGAAGATGTGATCCTTACTGAGCATGTCCCCTGTGGCTGCAGCTGTTGGCCCCTCCAGCAAGATTTCTAATAAGGCTTAGAAGCTGCCTTGAAATGTCCTATGCTCAGCTCTCAGAGCAAGGATGGAACTTGGCCACGGAGTCATTTTGCCTCCAGGGAAGAGTTACAAAAGAACCTGACATCACATCTGTGTAGCTCCAGATCAGGCCTTGTGTATGAATAAATAGGTCAGATGGCTTGAGATGTCCATCTTCATGTCACAAAGGTGAATCACAACAGAAACCATGCTCCTTGTGTGAACTTCAGTTGAGCCCTCTGCAGATGTGAGGCTGGGCACACGGATTCCAAACCTACAGGAAGGATGTCCTGTGGGGAGAACCAGTGTGCAGCATAATGAATGATATAGGAGCCCCAGTGATAAACCAGTTTAGAGACAGGTTTAAATGACCCCTGTGACCTTAAGCACCCCTATAGCTAATCTTCTGCCTTTCTTCTTCCCCTGCATCTGCTACCAGTGCAGCCACTCCCTCCCGCCCCACAGTGTAGCAGCCCACCTCCCCATCTTCCCATCAACTTTCTCTGCCGAGGTCATCAATATGGATTCAGACTCATCTTCTGGCATTTGACTGAACTTTGTGTTCCTTCCCCCATCACGTGGTCTCCGTGATCTTGTGTTCTCCAGGTGGTTCTCTCCTGCCACTGACACCTGCTGCTGTCTTCGCCCAAGGCTCTGCTTCTTCCAGTCATGGTTGGAGTTACTTGATGTAATGGTTACTTTTCTGATTGCTGCAATCTAATAGCCCATGAGAAATAACTTGAAGGAAGAAGAGTTTGTACTGGTTCACAGTTAGAGGGGACATAGCCCGTCATGGCAGGGAAGACATGGAGGCAGGAGCAGGAGGCTGCTAATCAATTGTAAAATACACAGTCAGGAAGCAGAGAGAGACTCCTTGCCCATCTTGGCTCTTACCCATTCCTGGAAGTTTCAACCATTGATGCTACCATAATGGCTCTCACCCCAGAACAGCGTTCTCCTCGAAATTGCCAAGTTCATCTTTAATTGTCTTCCAGGGTTCTCCACCTGAATGTTCCTCAGCCATCTAGCCAGCAGCCTGTCCCAAACAGGCTGCTTTCCTTGTTCCCTCTAAAGTCATTCCATTTCCATTTCAATGAATGGTGTCACTGTCCTCAGCTAGTTGTTCAGATGAACTGGGGTCATCTGGATTGCTCATGTGCCTCCATCCACACAAGTGCATTCCCATCTGTTGTGCATGAAATCCACTCTGTCTCTCAACCAGCATGCAAAACCCTCATAGAAGAGGTCAGCATAGTCTTGTGTTCTGTGGGGTTAGCTCTCATCATTATGCTACAGCCACCTTGACTTAGAACTTCTCATTTCTCTTAGCTGTTTTGGTTCCATCTTTTTTTTTTCCTATACACCATTTCTTGCCTCAGTAGCATGCTGGAGATATTCCAGATTTTTCTGCATTTCACTAATCTGCTCAACATAGGACATTTGTTACTTTCTTTCTAAACATTATGACTTTGAACTAACTTTAGGCTCTGAGACACAATGGCTGTGCAAGGAGTTTCCACATGTTGTTCACCTAAGATCCCGTTATGTTCACAGCTGTCCCAACCATCACTTCAATACCAAAACTAAAAACCTTAAAAGCTATTTAACCACAAAGCTACACAGAGAAACCCTGTCTTGAAAAACAAAAAACAAAACAAAACAAAAGCTATTTAACCAAACTACAATCTTCTTTTGGACATACTGCTTTCTTGTTTAAATTTTTTTTAGATTTATTTATTTTTCATATTATGTATGTGAGTGTTTTGCCTATGTATATGAATGTATACTACATACAGGCCTGGTGCCTGGGAATGTTAGAAGATATTAGATCCCTTTGAGCTGAAGTTAGGATGGTTGTGAGCCACCAAGTAGATTCTGGGAACTGAACTTAAGTCCTCTGCAAGAGCAACAAGTGCTCTTAACTGCTGAGCCATCTCTCCAGCCCCCAAGGATACACTTCTTTGTAACATAATGCTCAGTCAGTTTCATCATCACAGCTCAAACACTGCTTTAGCTGGCAAGTTTCCTTTGCTCTTGAGTGCACAGTGGTTTCCCACCTTTCCTTGTCTTTCATGAGGTTGTGCTTCTAAAGAATACTGATAGGCTGAGACCCATAGCGCAGGGTGGCCCCCCATTGCAGTTGACCCCCTAGTGCAGGTGTAGTATACAGATAACCACTAATGAGGGTGAACCCTAGTGCAGATGACCCCTAGTGCAAGTGACCCCTAATGTCAGTGGGCACAGGTGAACCCAAGTACACTGCAAGCACAGTCCATGGAAATTGACTTTATCCACTGAAAGAACAAATATGATCAGATTTAAGAACAAGACACAATGTTACAAGCAAACAAAATTCCTGGGCAGAGTGGCACATTGTAATACCAGCATTTGGGGGGTAGAAGCAGGACAATCAAAAGTTGAAGGTCATCTTCAGCTACAAAGTGAGTTCAAGGTCATCCTG